TCAACAGTCAAAGCTCACTCGACTCATCGAGGGCAACTCATCTACTCGTCGAGTTCCTCAGTACTCAGTAAATCACGAAAGCCTGAGTCAACTCGCCGAGTTGCTAGCTAACTCGTCGAGTCCATGCAGAGTCCAGAAGACCGGGGGAAAACCTTAACCACTCGTCGAGTCGTTCCACCAACTCGTCAAGTTTACACTGTATACAAAACCGGGAGAACCTGACTCAACTCGTCGAGTTGGATGCCCAACTCGTTGAGTTCTTCAGCCATTTCACATTAAACTCATTCCAGTCAATTCCAACGCTCCAAACTCCAGATCCAACCTCCTAGGATGAAGTTTCCACGTAAAGTTGCTAACTTTGCGATCATGCAAGGCCTCACAAGGCTAAAACACTCAATACTAAGCTCGGGAAAAGGTTTAGGACATGAAGACGGGTCAAAGCTTCATAAAGCTTGAGACTTTAGGCCTAAAGGGCCTAGTAATGTCCAGATCTGAGGTCTCAGCTCCATAGCATGCTCACAAACATTAATGACTCAAGGAGAAGCTAAAAAGAGCCATAAACTCTCTAATGGAGAGATCTAACAAACAAGAAGTCAAGGTATTAACTTTTTACCTTCAAATGACTGCTACCACTGAGATGATGCCGGATCCAAAGACTTCTTCTTGTTCCAAGCTTCTTCTCTTCAAGGTATGCACCAAAAACCCACCCTCTATTAGCTCTAAACACTCTCAAATGGAAGGTACTCAATTAGGGTTTGTCTCAGGGTGATAAAGTGATGAGGGAGGTGGGGTAAAGGAGTTAAAGTCCTTTAAATAGGGTGCAAGCCCGAATAATTAGGGTTTCATCAAACAGACTCAACTCGTCGAGTCCAGTCCTCCGACTCGACGAGTAGACTTCATATCTCACGCATCCTGATCAATTCCTACATGATGAGTCGGGACCAACCAACTCGTCAAGTAGGTCCTCTAATGTGAATAAAATTCTCAAGTTTCACATCCGGGAAATCGGGGTGTTACAAATTAGAAGGGATGTCACCATGAAAGCGCTATGAGGGATGTCTCCCTCATCAGCCAACTCGGCGGTTCTATTAGTCAGTCAGAAAGAGAGATAAGTAACGGTAATGGTAGGCCTTACGGAGGTGTTAGGTGGATGCATTGATGTTATGTGTGTTGTTTTCGATGATAGTAAGGTGTTGTTGCTTTCTTAGAATCAGTAGCTCAGCCTGCCAATAAAAAATTTGTTTCGAGTCACGAATAGGAAATCAAGGGAGGTAAGCAGCTCATCAAATAACATAATTCTTGGTTTCTTTATGAAATGACCTCGAACAAGGCGATATAGCTAGTGAGTCCGTACGTCTTTTGCCCTTGCATTTCGAAACGTATTTTGCTATGGAATTAAGAAGATCGGCTCAAGATCACGCTGGACAACAAAGGAATCACAGTAATCAAGCCTGTTTCCTTTTGAGTTATCCAATTAATTGAACCAACTGGGACAAAAGCAAGGAGCTAGTATGAGTCTCTTACTCTTAAAAGGTGTGGATTAGCTGCTCCGACCTTGAATCGTATCTCGACCGGTTATCGATGCTAGTAACTGAAATCTAAGACTAGGAAGAAGAGCCAGGAAGAGACCTATTTCTTGTTCTGTTGTTCAATGAATTGCTTTAAGGGAAGGAAAGGAAGCAGGGAAGCTGGCTATTGAGTTTCCAACTTTTGGGCGGATAGCATTAATAAGAATTTGTTAGACCGACCGATTCTTCGAATTAGGAATTCGATACATTGATTATAGATACTTCTGATAACAATTCACTAGTGCCAAGGAGCGGGTATCAGGAATCAAGGGAACAACTAGAAAAGGGAAGAAATTCGCCTAGACTGGAGGGTTCTGTCTTCGAGTTCATCTCGGTTCTTGTTTGAGATTATAGTAGCGACTAATGTACTTTCCATTCCAGATTTCCTATACAGTGAACGACTGGAGGCTCTTTGATGTTGTCTTAGTAACAGAAAACTCGCTTTCCAGCTGCCTTCAATCCCGGCTTAGCCACCCCTCGAATAGCGGCTGAGGCTAGTCCTACCTGTTCTTCGGTCAAGTTACACAAAGTCAACCCTCGATTTTCGATAATGACATGTGAGACATGCGGTGATATCCGCTTCCTACGCCCATTGATTTCCATCCCGATGTACATATTTTATTGTTTGGGTTAGCAACAACCCCTCGAAAGACAGGAAAAGCATTTGTTCCCTAACGAGTCCCATAACGAGTCCCGTATTCGAGCTCATTTCAATCGTTCATGCTTTTGTGTTTTCGTAGCTCATGTTGAAAATTCCTTAGAATCAGTTTCGGATGTCCTAGAAGAATCAACCTAGAGAATGATCGGTTATTAATGTGGGTATTGCTTTGAGACAAATTTTCTATCCAATTAGGCACTTCCTTTGCTTTTATATCCGAGTTTTAACCATAAGGGTATCCTAAACCTTACATGTTTTTTAAACTTGTTCAACTCCTTGGATAGATCCTGGTATTTGTGGACGGAGAAGGAAAAGGAATGCCTCTGGTTCTCCGGCCAAGTATCTAACTTTAGCCCTCACTCTCTTAATTATGAGTTACTCTTTGGACCCCGGGGAGGTGGTAAATCCCAAACCACATGTTGAGGCTACAGGTTGAACCAGGAGAAGCATTCACCTAAGGATGGATAAAACACATCATGTCTGCAGGATACCACGTCCAACCTGCCAGGTTCCCTATGACTATGAAGTAAGGTATAGGTTGTTTCCAACAACAACCAGAAAGACTTCATTTCTGGGGAAGAACATTGAGTCTTCCGAATAGCAACCTATAAAAATAAAAAAATTTCAAACTTGAAATGATGAGTCCAGTTAAGAATCTCTTTTCCGCATTAACTGGTAGTAAATATAGTCATTCAAATCTCTATGTTAGAAAACATCAGCGGTTTCGACATTGATAAGCATTCCTTTAGCAAGCCCCGTAGCTCGAAAGAACGAAAAAAAGCTGGCAAGGGACTCACTTATGAAACATAGTTGAAAGATGTTTTTATTTTAGATCATTGTTAAGTGGTAAGGATAATGACAAGCTGGCTCTTGGAAGTAACTACAACATACATATATGATGAGAATGACAATAAAAAAAGAAAATAAAGAAAATGGCTAACAATATGAAAATGTTTCAAGATCTAATGTATAGTACTACATCTTTTGGAAAGAAAGAAATATTCTACAGGTAATAACCAATGAAGACTTAGGCCTATCAAGCCAATTTTCCTTGATGAAAGCCCACAGAAGGGCCAAAAATTTAAACCCATCATCAAAGCAAGCTCAAGTCTTCATCTGTAGGACTTTCTTTGATGGTTCATGTAAGTTTAGGTTTTTCATTCGGGCCCTCTTGGGGCACCCTGTAGGCCAATGCGTATAAGCTTGGGCTTTATTAATCTGGCTCATTTGACAACTCAGTACATGGATGTCACGAGTCCATTGACATAGAATATGGAATCTTTTCCACGTAAGTTGGTTGTAAAAAAGCTTGTTTGTTCATATAGGCAGTGTGATTTGGGGATCTTTTGTTTGCTCCGCAAGGTAGCCAGAGCCAACCAGTTTTTCACTAAATAGGTATAAGAGTAGTTGAATTGCAGAAAAGTAGTGCGGAGAACTAGTCAGAATTGGGCCTGCCATCCAATTCGTGAGGTGGATGATCCGCCGAATCTATTGCTGATTTCACCACGATAGATTGGGTAAAACAGTTCTGCAAAGTTTGTTTGTTCATACAGGCAGCGTGGTTATAATAGTTGCTAGCCATGCAATTTGTACGGCATGGCGAGATTCCTCTACCACTTTATAAACTTCAAACTCATAATATTCTTGTTTTTCATAGTTTCTCAACATGAATCTTGAAACTCCCGTAATCCTATCAAAAGACCATACAACTTTTCTCCTAGTCATATTTCATTAAAAATTAGCTCGTACGTGTTTCTTCTTAAAATACTTACACAAGAGGGATCTTAAAATACTTGCACACAAGGAATGAACTCTTAATAAAGCCAACACTTTTTTCATTTGGGATTCATGGTAAATCAAACTAAGAAGATAACTATTCCAAGGATTATTCAGATAACTATTCCAAGGATTATTCAGATGAAAGTGATGGTTTGTTATATGAGATTGTGCCTTCGCATACAAAGTGAGAATGCTTAGACTTAGGGGAGTGGTGCGGTAGAGGGAGTGCGGTTTCGCCACCTAGGCAGCGAACACCGCCCCCTGGGTGTGGTTTGGGTGCGGTTTAGACCGCAGTGTGGTAAAAAATGGCCGCAATTTGTGATTGGGTGGGGAGAATTTGACCGTTTTGTGATTGAGTGGGGAGAAAATTAAAGTTTTTATTTAAATTAATTTTTTTTAAATAAAATGTGGCATCACTCTTTGGGTGTAGCAATGAATCACACTTTTGTGGTAAAAAATGATGTGACACTTATGTGGCAACGAAAGGAGTGCGGTTTCGATGACACCACTCCCTCCAGCCTTATATGATATTGGGCTTAATCACGTGAGCATCCCTCCAGCCTTATATGATATTAGGCTTAATCACGTGAGCGGCTGATGTCATCGGATAGCTGATGTCCTCCTATAAAATGGAAAAATAAATAAAATAAACATTGAGCTCTATAAAGAGAGATTTGATGGTGATAAGAACAAGTACAAACCATGGAGACGATTGACATCTACACCAAATAATAATAAGATCAGTATGGAAGGGTTGTTGTCAGTTCATAAGTATAATTAAGGATGGTCTGCTCGGAATCCCTAAAAAAAAATTATCAAAGAAAGAAAAACAGTCACATTTGGAATATGATAAATATAAAAACTCAAATTTCTCTTACATTATTCAAACCAAAAAGGAAAACTTTAAAACAAAAGAACCTATCTATCGACTATCATGCACCCAACTACTTCTTAAAATACCAAAGAAAGAAGGGAAAATCGAGAGAAAAAAAAAAGTGTGTATAAAAGAATAACTAAACTGAATAAAAAAATTATTAATTTCCTCGGAAACAAGAATTGTTATCTTTATTGTTCCTAGTAGTGACGCTGCCATTATTGTTGTTGTATGTGGTTGTGGTGTTTACAGCGGTGTTTGGATGAGAACCGCCGTCGCTACCACCGCCGCCACCGATAATCGACGAAATCGCCACCGCTAAAGCAGCAGTAAAGTTTGGATTAGTGGCGAGGGCAGTGACGGTGTCAGCCAAAGCGGTGTGCGACGGTTCTTGGTTGTGCAACTGCAACGAAGACAGATCCCCAATTTGCGAGATGATTCCGGCCGCCGTATCCTGTGACAGTTGAAGCCCTGAAAATTTCGACTGGTTGTATAAACCCTGCCCAAATATCTGGGGCAGTAAAGCACCATTTTGACCGGCGAAGTTCTGTTGTTGACCCAGCGGCGGAGATTGAGTGAGGTCTAATGTGACGGTGGGGAACGGGGCGGAGGCGGAGATTGTGGCAATGTTTGAGGAGCACGGGAGGAGAGTCCTTGCTAAAAAATTGGGATTTATGATACCGTCGGAGCTGGGCATGGATCCTGAGAGGAGCATTCTGGCGGCGGAAGAAGTGGTGGAGGACATCGCCATGGCCGCCGGTGGCAAAGGGTGGTTGTGGTTGCCTTCGTAGGTGGTGATCAGAATTGTTCTATCTTCTGCACATCTTTGTACCTGTTCAAACATATTATGAATTTAACTAATTTACTTTTTTTTTTTTTAAATATAAACTCCGAAAAAAACATGCAAAAATAAATTGGTATATGCCTTGCAAATAACGTTAAAATAGTAAAAAAAGTAAATTAATTATCATTTTCAATAAGTTACGGTGTTTGATAGAGATAAAATAAATGCGAAAAAGAAAAAAAAAAAAGTTTTGCTTGGCACTAGTTTTTATTTTAAACAAAAAAAATTATGAATCCAAAAACTATTTTAAAGAGTTTTTCAAAATTTTAGTTTTAAATTTTTAACTAGTTTTACACCTAATTTATAGAAGTATTAAATAAATAACACAAGAGAATTTTACTTGTTTCCTAACGGGGCAACCGACAGCCATGGTGCACCGATAATATGCTCGAGGACATGGATTTCCTTTGGCCATTTTTTGCCCATATTTTCTCCATTGACACCCATCTGTAATCTATAAAAAAAATAAGCAAATAACAATGATGTAGAATTTGATTTTCAAACTATTTTGCACTAATTGTATATTGTAAAAACATATTATGATGGTGATTAACAGGAACGTAGATATAGACACTTTGATAGAATTATTTCAACCAACGGATAATTTAGGTGAAAACAACTTGTACTGATTTTGTTAATAAAAAAACCAACATGAGAGAGTCAACGTTTTCAATGATGATATAGTCCACTACTATTTTTGATGGTGTTCATGTATATGTAGTCTAAAAAGTACGTACCATGGGAGCTTCGGATCGAGCACGAACAGAAACCCTAGCTTTTCGAATGGTTGCTTCAGTAGCTTGATCGATATTACCATCACCATCATTCTTCAAATCATTCAATCTCATGACCTTGTTTGAACAAATCAAAGCCTGCTCAGGGCTCTCTTCTCTCTGATCTTTACCGATGATATTATTAATCGACTTTCGATGAAGTTCATCGGAGGACGATCGGGAATTCTCATCAGTTTCCACCGTTGTTGGATCTGCTAAACCAATAAACGGGATCTCTCCTCCTCCATCAATGTTAGGTTTACGATATTCATCGAGATTTTTTTCTTGTTTTTGTCGAATCACCTTCGTCAGGAGTGTATTGTAATTCAGATTTGCTTGATTCAACTTTTGTTTTAATCGTTGATTCTCGCTTTTCTCTTCTTCTAGTTGTTGTATGTAATGATGTATCACCTCGTTCTTTGTTCGTTTAGAATTAATCAGAGACATTCCATCATCGGAAACGGAATGATCGTTGCTTGTGCTTCGAGTAAGAAGATGCAAACCAGTCTGTATAGTTCACAATTCGATTCGATTAAATAGCAAAACCAGAAATTTTAAAAAGGGAACACTACTCCTAAGTCCTAATCAACTAATCATTGCATATGATTCCTACTTCAAAAACAAAAACAGATCTGTGAATGTCAAAATCAACACGGATTAATCGGATTCATTCTGAATTAATGTTAAAATCTATACCCATTCATGTTTGAAAACGGTCTGATTACGAGTAACAAGGATGAGATACTAAAATCGTAAACTTACGTTGATATTACGATGAAGATGATCGGAAGTATCACAGTCGAACTTTGACTGTTCATCTACATCCTTTCTATCGGCAAAGAAATCCATCATCTGTTTATTCTGATCATCAGACGCAGTTCCGGTGAGGTTGACTGGAAATTGAATGGTGGTGGGTGAATGAGAAGAAGAAGCGGTGGTGTTTCCGGCGGAGTCTGCTTCGGCGTCCATTTACGGTTGTTGAATATCGGAGTTTTCCGTGTGTCTGAGAGCGTGGAATTAACAGAGTGATGAGATCTGAATCAAAGGAGAGTCCACTTGGCCATTTATGAAGATATGAAGATTGAAGAGGAAGGAGAGAGAAAATGGAGTCTTCGAATAAGCAGTGGACTCGGCAACAAAAATGGATATCAGGTTATGACTCCTGACTAAAAACAAAAATATGGTGAATCTGAGTGTTTCCATTTTCTAGATTTTTATTTAAGAAAGTCATGGGATTTGATTTTGTTTTTTTGTGCATTTACTTTTCAAAATTTGATTTTAATGTATTTATGTTTGCATCAATATTATTTTTTTTATAAGTAAAAGAATAAGTAAATATTAATTTTATTCAATTTATATTTACAAAATAATATTTAAACTTAATATTAAAAAAAATATATAAATTTAATATTTTTAATAAAAATTCAATTATAAACCAACTAATCTATACTTAAGGATAATCATAAACATCACAGTTTTATTATGGAAATTTAACAAATAATTATCATTCTTATAATATCACAAATTAACAATCAATTTTCAACTATAGTCGGTTACATATTACTAAAAGTTTTAAAATTGCTCATTTACACGACTTTTTATTTAATAAACATATATTTCAAAATTTCAAAATCTTTTAGAATTTCAAATTAGTTCTTAAAACTATGAAATTATTCCTAAAATTATTAGTTTTTTTAAAGTTTTTTGAAATAGAATTATATTAAAAAAAAGTTGTTTTTTTAAGGTTTTCAAGTTTGTTGTGGCATAATTTCGCAATTTAAAATTTGTCTAATTATTAAATTAATGGCATTTTTTATGACTGTTGAGAAAAAAAATTACCTTATTAAATACTATATCATAAAGTATTATTTTTTAAATATTCCTTATATAGATAACAAATCATATTATTTAATTACAAACTAATACCATTGACTATTAAACATTATTTGAAACAGGTTCCTAAAACTTGACTTGAAATAAGTTTGTTTTGTGGTCAAAATATATGAGAGGAAGAGGGAGTTTTTGTTTTATTGCTTGTAGAGGAAGGGAGTATATTGTTACACGTGGCAAGTAGGACCCACAAGCATTTGTAGGTCCAGAGTGGAAGATTGACGAAAATTGCTTCCGAGATTTGTCAAAGATGAGCTTAACTCGTTCCCTAAAATTTCACCGCCCCAAATACCCCGGCGTTTCCGCTTCACGACGGGGTTAGTAGGATAAATTTCACAAAGTTTTACTTTACCCCCCTAAGTTTCTTACTGACTATAAATTCATCCATTTTCTATTTAGCCAAAAATGTCAAGCTATACTTTATCGTAAACTTATTGCAAAGTGCGGCCCAATGGCTAAGCATGTGCACATCAAACAATAAATATGAATTAAGTTTAACAAACAATAACAATAACGAAATCTAAGTCCAACAAGAATGGAGATAACGAGAGGTAAAAGATAGGTAACAAACAGCTTTAAAAAAAACGAAAGAACAAATTATAATACTGTTAGCCATTAGAAATAATCTCATGTATAATAAGCACCATTCTGGCATTCCACCATGAAAGAATAAAGAAATAAACGAATAATCAAATAAACTAAATAGACAATGGTTACTGGTAATGGTTAAAAGGAGAAGACAAGTACACGTGATAAAGCTGAAAATGAAAGGTTTTTTGTATATTATACGATACATATATATAGTGGAAACAAATACTAGCAATAAAGAATGAACTAGACACTAGCCATAAAGCACATAACGTATACAAGCATACAACAAATATGGAACAATAATCAAACTCATAGGACTACAAGCTCATGCCGACCTGAAAGGACTACAAGTATAGACAAATTTCAAACTAAAAGGTAGCTACTATATACTTTATTAACTCCTACTCTATTACCCTTTTCTTATGTCTTCACATCTTTCTATCAGATGTAATGTCCTCACAAAGTGCCAATTTCTTCAAGTAAAACACCACATTATCTTTCCACCCCCTTCTCGCGCGTCCTGTCCTCCTCTTACCATCTATGGTAATCATCTCCGCCCTTCTAATTGCGACAATCGATAATTTCCTCCACACATGTCCGAACATTGTAATCTTTTTTTCCCTCTCGTTGATCGGTACCACTCCTAATAAAGTTATAATTGTTGTGTTCATTACCCGGTCCAATAAGGTCCTACCACTGGTCCACTGCAACATTCTCATTTCCGTGACCTCCATTTTCCTTTCATGTGATTTCTTGGTTGGCCAACATTCAGATCCATAAACATCCTAAGGTCCAAAGTGATCAGAAGATTACTCAAATCCATCCTAAGGTCTTAGAGTTGCTTATACTCTATGAATCTCAAGACAAAAGGACTAAAGGGCTAAAATCTCACCTAACACCCAAGACTAAGAAAGAATATGAATAAAATAAGGAACTTTATGTCTTACAATGATAGAGAAGTGTCCATAAGGTTGAATCTTGAGCTGGAAAGGACTCTTCCAAGCACTACAAGCTTACTTCATGTTCAAGGATCTCACAAAAACACCGAACTTTCTTTAGGGACCAACAAGGGGTCAGGGTTTCGTTATGAGGGAGTGGAGGTTGAGAATAAGATAAACCCTAAAAGTTAGCACCATAATATAGGGCTCAAGGCATGAGACATAGGTTTTTATGTTGTGACGGCTTCATGTTGATAGTTTCATTTTATTTACTTCTTTTTCTAGTTTATTTTAGCAAATTTCATCTCATTTTAGTTAGTCCCCATGCATATTTTCTCTTTTTGTTATTTTCCACCTTTATCAAGTACTTTTCAATCTTTTGAGTTTAATTGCAGTACTTTTCAAAGACTATTCAAGAAGGAGGAATGCGAGAATGCGGGACCTTGAAGCTGGAAGCTTGCAGTGTGTTTGTGGACTCCAGCATAGAGCAATTTGGCTTGGATTGCAAAAAAAAAGAAGGCAAATGGGCTAACTTGGATGTGATGTGACATCCTCTAATTTTCAAAACCAATTAAAACTTTTCTTTACGCTTTAAAAATCATTTGTTTATATTTACGAAAAATCCTAGTACAAAAGATCATTTTGATTACAAATGTTTGTTTCCAGAATGCTAAAACCCTAAGGATGTCATAATCAATACATATACATAAGTTACAGCATAAAGACCTGATGGTCCTGAATACTATTGCAGGTTGTCTCTTAAACACTCAGCATCCTAATCAAGTTCCAGTAGCTTAAGCCTTGATACCTGTGATGCATATAAACTGAGTGGGTCGGGTTGAAAAACTTGGTGAGATATATAGGGATTTCAATTCAACAATATTGATATGATAATATTCATTAATTATCAGACCTGAAAAACCAACTGTTACAATACAATATCCATATAGGCTTACATTTCCTACATATCCATTCCTACCGATCCTCACAGATCCTGGTCCATGCTTATCAGGGAGCAATTATCTCACTTGATGAACCGTTAAAAGGTTTGAATATGCGGCTAAGGGCTTCCTTGGCAAGTGTAAGTCATAAAGGCATATGAGCCATCAGAGTATTTGATGAATATGGTATCCCATTTCATCCACGTCTGTGAGTAATGAGCTCACACTAACAACGTAATTCACAAGAATGTCTAAAATGATCAAGTGTTGTCACCTACTATGAGAGGTGACCATACATACCGTTATAGTTGCGTGATCTGGACCCACCATTTCTGGTTATCCAAGAAAAGTACTATAATGTATTCCCGTAAGGAGCTACAATACATCAACACCTGAAAGTGTCACAGAACATAATTTTGCTCTTCGTTCCTAGCTTACACACATTCTCCTAATGAGACTACTTGTAACACCCGGAATCCAGAAGGCCAATTAAGGAAAGAAAAACCCCAAATCAAAAAGGCAACTCTCCGAGTCCAAGGGGGGATAACTCGACGAGTAGGAGCAAGTTTGGGATGCGGGTGGAGGGACCTACTCGATGAGTTGGGAGGACCAACTCGGCGATTTGGTCTGGGTTTGGGAAACCCTAAATCCGGGTTTTTGTACCCTATTTAAGCATCCTAATCCCCACCTTTCAGCCTCATTTCCAGCCTCCATTGTCCAAACCCTAGATCTTGAACCCCTAATGCTATAGTGAGCCATTTTGAGTGTTCTTGTGAGTGTTGAAGCTTGGGATGGAAGGAGAAGCTTGGGGAATCAAGAAGAAGCTAATAGATCCAGAAACACCACTTCATTTCCATCACTTTCTGGTAATCAAGTCTCAAACTTGACTAGTAGTTGATTAGATCTCTACCTTAGCATCTTTATGTGGTTTTTGGTCCAAATGATATAACTCTTGGGATTTGTACATCCCAAGTGAGGAACACTTTAGATCTAGTGTCTAGAGGGACTCTCATGGCATAAAGGTGCCAACTTTATGGCCATGGAAATCCCATGCAACCTCTAAGCCTCTATTTTGGCCTTTTTAGCTCCAAAGGGCCATGCATGTGGATAAAGCGTGAAGCTTTACGTGATTTTCTTGCCCCCAGAGTCCAGATCTACAACCCCATGGGTTATCTTGCAGTTTTGGTGAAGTTTGGATTAAGACCTTGACCTTTTTGGGTTAGGGTTTGAGCTTAATCCCTTTAGGAGAGGTATTAATGGGTAAAGTTGGAAACTTTACCCTTATAGTAGCATTTCCAGCCTAGACTCGGAGTATAGAGTGTAGATTTGAAGGATAAGGGCTTAATGCATAAAGAAGAGCTAACAGACTAGAGAACTCGACGAGTTCATGGAGTAACTCGACGAGTTGGCTTGGAAATGTCTCGATCCGGAAAAGGAAGAACTCGCCGAGTTGGGTGTAAACTCGATGAGTTGGGTCACGATACATCGATTCAGATTAACATAGGAACTCGACGAGTTAGGAGATAACTCGACGAGTTGAGTCAACTCGGAGCGTTGACTTTGACCAAGGTTGACCTAGTTTGACTTTTGAGGGCATTTTGGACTAAGTGTTATTTTGGTTTTGATAGATCGGGGAGCCGAAGGATTAGCAGTTCGGGGAATTGCAAGTTAGCAGGTTTGAGGATTATCTGCAGGACTTCAACAGTGCAAGGTGAGTCTCCTCACTGTTTGCATGGGTCTACGGCCATAATGTCGGACCATTT